CCAGCAGCCCATGAGGCAGAGAGGGGAGGGCAGGGGTGACTAAGGCAGTGGGGGCCGGGGGTTCCACTTAGGAGTAAACCTCTTTGAGATGAAAGCTGGTCATCAGATTCCTCCAGCATAAGCTCTAAGTCCACCAAGAGGAAAAAGAATAGAGAGCAGGAGCTGTTAAAAGGTAAACTGTGGCACAGTAAAAGTTTAAAGAGTTTATTTGAGCAGAAAGCAATTCATGAATGTGGCAGCTCCAAACCAGAGTGGTCCCGGGCTCCTGGGAAGGGCAAAAGGAGAAGCAAGGCAGAGACATGTGAGGGAGACCCGGAGCCACAGCCTCATGTAGGTCATCCTGGTGGAACGTCCCCAGGTGGAGGCTCGTTGGCAGAGGTGAAAAAGGGCAAGATGTGGTCTGAAGAGGGGCCTTTGCTGTCTACATGATTCCAATAGCACATGTGTGACCACACACCAGCCAGGAACTGGGGGACCCACTCAACCCCAGGCACCACGACCTGTCGGGGCCCCTCTCTCCCTGGTTCCCAGTCTTCTCGTCCAAAAAGTGAGACTGTTGAGTGATGTCCCTGATGCGTCTTGCTCTCATTCCAAAATGTTACGACTGACTTAATAGTTCTATTCCCATGTCTGGTTTTTATCTCCTGCTAAGTGAGTAGTTTCGAAGTAACTCATCCATGAACATTCACAATTTGATCCTCCAAGACTGTGGTACGTTTAGAAATCCGTGTGTGTGTGTAAATACATAATATGTGATTCAAACAAAGTCTCTCTTGGCACGCTGACCTTAGAAAGTGGAAAGACAAGAGCATGCAAATGGGCTTTCTCTGTTGCTGGGTGGAGGAGATAATTTTCTGCATCGTATAATTTAGTGCTACAGAAAACCACCCCTCCCACAAAATGTACCTTCCCGACATTCTTAAAAGACAATACACTTGTGTAAATGACAGCAGACACTTTCTTCGACAGGGTTTAATAAAAAGAAGAAACAGAACACGATTACATGTGTAGCTGAGCAACTTGGTAATGCTGCCAATTCTGCTGATTTTCTCAAAATGTGATATTCAAGTTTTACTTAAAGTGTGTTAGGTGCTGAATATTGGCTATTTCAAGGCTTTTCCCTCTCTCTCATGGAAGACAACCTGAAAGACAAACCCTCTCTGCTCTCCAGCCTTGCGTTGGCAGCAGAAGTGGGCAGAGTCCCTCATTTGTCCCGTGTCCTCGTCATCCGCTCCACTGAACATCTGGAGCCTCTCTCCTGGGACATGCCACCATCTCGGCTCACTGGATCCCATTCTTCATGTCCTCTGCACCTCGCAACCGAGGATCTTCAGAGTTGGTCCGTCCTGCATCTCTCATTCTTGAATGTATCTTGACTGTTGAGAATAAAGTTTGTTCCCCTCTCGCATTTCCCTGCACTCACTTCTCACCCTCTTTGCTTCTCTTGTTCGCTTTTTCTTATGTTGAAATTCTACCATTGCAAATTTATCTCTTTTCATGAATTTTGCCCCTGGGAAGCCAACTGCTGTAGACAGTGATGGAGTTAAGTTGCATTTATTTGGCCACATTATCATGTGGTAAGTGTCTATGAGAATGATCAGGCAGCATAATTTAAAACTTACACCTGGGACTCGATCGCATGTTGATTAAGTCTTAACATGGCAATACTGGCTCTACAGGTAATGTGGAACAGCTCAGGATTGGGGGAAGCTTGTCTTTATTCTAAGTATCCCTAATCGTAAGGCTCCAGTGGCTAAAGTGTGGTAAGAAAGTGGAGGACAGACTCCTAGATGCTCTCAGATCTCTGTGCGGAAGGTCAGGGTGCTTCCTGCCATCTTCTTCTGGTAGTCCTTGTCAAATTCTTCATTCTGGGCCACAGTAAAGTAGTTCTTCCAGTCCCCAGGCATCCCTGAAACAAGGCAAAATCTCAGTGATTGCTGCAGGAGTGAGCATGCACTTGTAGGACTTGTGCAAGAATGGAGAGAAACGGGAAGCTTGCCTCTCAAAAGTTGCACTGTGTTGTCACTGGCAAGAATAAACAATGGGGCACTGCTGTAGATTAGAAACTACACCCCACCCGAAGCTCATTGAGGGTTAAATTTCCACTGTAACCGTGAAGGTGGGAAATCCTATTATGGTAATTGAAGGGCGGAGTCTTGAGGAGGTCTGGGGAGGTGATTAGATTGCATGACTATGCTGTAGTGAATATATTAATAATGGTGGTAAGGGGCATGGTTCTGAGGGCTTCAAATGGAAAGTAAATAAGGAGGTTGGTCTCTTTCCGCTCCACATCTTCTGCCATGTGAGACTCCTGGGTCACTGTCTCCACCACCAAGACCCTCACCAGATGTATTCCCTGGACTTTGGCCTTCCCAGCCTCTGAAGCTGTAAGCAGTAAGTTTTGTTTTCTCTGTAAATCGCCCTGTTTCAGGTACTTATGTTATAAGCAACAGAAACTGACTAATACAGGTATGAAACATTACCAGGAAATCTAAGTAGATTGTGCGGACAACAGAGTTCATTTGGCATCTTAGACTATAAGTCTCATCTACCTTTTCTCATAAAAGGGGAGATGGAATGATCCATAAGGCAGGTGGGCAACGTGGTGTAGTTGGCCATTGGGTTTTGCTTCATTACATCAAAGGAGGTGTGATAGACAATTTTATTCAGAACGTCTTCAGGTATGTCTTTCTCCAGGAACTGCAATATCTTCTGAATTTCCCGCTTTGGATCCTGTATGTGGAACAGTTACACAAGGCCCATCATTTTGGGTCTTCCATTAGGGATGATGTTCTGTTTGGACTAACAGTTCCATTAGAGAAATAAGTTAAGGGATCAATTCAAATATAACTAATCAAGGGCCGGCCCGGTGGCGCACTGCTACAGTGCGCCGATTGGGAGTGTGGCGGCGCTCCCGCCGAGGGTTCGGATCCCACATACAGACCGGTTCCCACT